ATATTTTCTAACTCCAGACAAGAAAATGTTTTCGCCTAAATGATCACTTAACATACGAATTACAGAGGCGCCTTTGTAATAACTGATTGCGTCAAATATTTGATGAATTTCACTAAATCAATGTAATTTACAGAGAAAAAATAAATATTTTATTTAAGTAAAATGAATTATTTATTTTTATGTATATATGTGCTACCTAGGATTATTGACGGGAACTTCAATAGGATGTGAAGATTTTAAAGAATCAAGTTGAAGACCTTTTTGAAATCCTTCAGTTACAAATCTATTAGAAATAAATTTAATAAATTTAATTATAAATATATGAAAACATAGATATAAGAAGATATACAGGGTATAACTTACTGTGTCCAAATATCCCAATCAGGAAAGATTTTATCAATAGCCAAATATCCAACCCAAGTAGCAAATCCTTCATTAAGCCAAAGATGATCCCACCTAAAATTATTATCGTTATCATTACCAATTCATACCAAGTTTTAGAATATATTATTATTATAAAAAAAACTAAATAAATTTTAGCTACCATTCCATGGTTACAAGGTTTCCGAACCACTTAAAATATTATATAAGATATACGGTATTGATAAAAATAAATAATTTGCAGAAGGAACAATAAATGTATACATCATTGATTTACATGATAAAGAACTTTTTACCTGATGAGCTAATTCGTGAGAAACTGTATAACCAATTCGTTGTTTAAATTTTGCGTCAGATTGTTTTGTATCAAACAATATAGCAGCAGTACGGTATGTAATCAAACCCCAATTCTCCATAGCACCTAGAAAGCAGGAAATTTAATAAATTTAATACCGTTTTAAATAAGTATTTAATGAATTAATTAATCAGAACCTTACCAGCTTCAAAATCAGGAATAGCAACCATATCCAACTTTGGTAATGGATATGGGATACCAAACACTATACAAGTAATTAAATAAAAGGATGGTTATTAAGTAAAGATGATAATTGGGGTTTTTAATGAGAAAAATATAAGCATATAAATATATATACCTCCAGCAAAATATTCTAAAACCTCAACCGCAACATTTAATGCAAATTCACCATTTTTTTCATTGCCTCGAGTAGCATAAACTCTGATCTGAACAGGGTTTCCAGCATTCTTTACTCCATTAGTTTTTTTCTCGATATAA